GTCCCCCTCCCCAATTTTCTCTTCATTCTTTCCGCTGTGTACTTTAATGGCTTGTGTTCCAATGGACATGGACCATAAACAGTTTTTTTATTCATTGAAAACTATCAGTCCTATAAATTTGAAAAATACAACTAGGAAAAATTGCCCACCAAAATCTACGCAAACTATGCTGGTCAACAACACATGACTACTTGGTACTCACCATTGCGCAAATTGGATGGCATTTCCACCAACCCCTGTGAAACAATCAACTATGATGCCACTAGCACAACGTAATGCATGATGCTGAGCAATAAGCTCTGGAGTGACAGAAAACCATCCTTCCTCGTCCATTCTTATACCATGATCAAATCTAGAAAATAAACTATATCTCTGATGCCAATATTTCCCAATAGCAGCAGAATACTCTTCATGCAATTCTTGAAACTGGCAACCTGCAAAATGAAAAATAAGTAGATTAAATAGGCAGCAACAAGTAACAATACAAGTACTGGAAGACTTCAATTAATACAATTGGCTATATTGTCCCATCAAGGAAGGAAGCAAAACATATTAAAAAGCATTAATGTCTCAAGGCATGAAACTCCCAGAAATTAGTTCTAATCAATCAGGCAAGCATCTATCTTTGGTTCAATTTTTACTAACATTCTCTGAAGAAACACATGTCCTTAAGTGGCACCTAAAAACACTCTCTATCAAAGAATGACTGTGTATGCATACAAGTGCAAGACAAATAAAAGAAATATCTGTACAAGGTCTAGATGTGATAACTTGCATCATAAAATCACCTTAGTATGGCAATATCTCCATGTATCTAGTTTTCTCAGTATTTGACTCTGGGAAAGCATTATTAAGAAAATTGGAGCCAGCGAGTTGGGGGGTCGAGAATCAGCAAAGTTATCATAGAAACTTCATGATAATACATACCTTCAGTTTCATCATACAGTCGTCTCTGTCTTGGTTTTCTTTTCATGGTCCTTTCCTGTATTTTCATGGAAGGATCAGACTTAGCATGCAACCCATTCACAGTAGGAACGGTGATATCCAAGCATGTGTCATTACCCTCAGAAGTTGGCTTGATGCATCTTTTGTGAGAGCTGCAAGGCATATCGAGTATAAGAACAAGTAGAATATTGAAACCGGAAAGGTGAGTTGAAAGAAGCATTTTTGGATAACTAATACATTTAATAATTGAAGCACTTGGTTAGCCTTGCAAATTAAATGAGCTGTCTTGGAAATGTAAGTCTCATGAATCATATGAAGAAGTGATAAAGTATCCAGTGTAAATGTATAACCTCACAAATAAATCCTTTCCAGGGACGATCATAGCATGATAAATTAAGGTTGAATAATTTACAACTTTTATGGTGGGTTAGGTACAAGATGTAATACCATATGTTATAATCCGGGGCATCTGACATTAAGCAGAATGAAACCCCATCATCACAACTACGACTCTCAATCAATTCAAAGGACTGGCCTTCACTCTGTATATTGATATCAGAGATCACATTGTCAGAACTAAATCCAGTGTCAGTTGAACACAAATCTTGTTTAGCTAATTCCTCTACAATCAAAGCTTCCTCAACGGTGTTAGTCTTGTTCTGAGAAGCATGCTCCTCTGTTGCTGCTACAGTGCCACCATTATCCATTTCTGTACAACCACCAGTTGCTAGATGCTCCATCCCCGGGGGTGGGTGCCATGTGGCTTCTTGTGTTCTGATATTGTAAAAGTAGCTTCTCTCATAAAAAGTATCCCAATACACCATCCATTCTCCAAGTTCACCGCAGTCACTTGAGTCAGCAACCATGTCACCTCCAATTCCTTCTGAACTCACAGGAAATGAAGTTGACTGCAAAATAACACTGTCACCATTGCAAAAGGTCTCATGTTCTGTATCTTTGCAAACAATTGACGCAACTTCCAAGCATTTATGATCAATCAACTGTTCACCATCTTCTATTCTGCAAAGGTTGGCATCGGAAACTGTCAAACTGTCTCTACCTCCAGCAGAAGATCCAACAGGTGAACTTGATGCAACTTTCAAATCATCACATAAAGAAATATTTCTAATCAATAAGTCACCATCCCGAGCGACATCAGTCACATCATCCTCTTTGTCATCGTCATGTTGCTCCCTGATAACATCAGACAAAACACCAGTATAAATTGCTGCATTGTCACCCTCTCCAGAGACACATTGAGAGCTATCAGCACCCACTGAACCATCACAATGACACGATTTGCTTTCACCCATCATTGATATACATGATAAAGAATTACTTGTATTATGATAATAAATGTCAGGAGATACAACCTCCTCTACATTCACTCTGGAAAGTGCTTCATCTACAGGTTTTTGATGACTACGTTTACCCTTTCTTTTGCCTTTTAGTTGTCCATTTCTCTGTAATAAGATAGTTCAGAGATATAATCAATAGCAGCTTTGACAGCAATTAACGAGCAGATAAAGAGTATGATGAAAATGATAATAGATTGTGAACAACAATGTCTATACTGAAAATTATTAGCAGCAATTTGGTACAAAGTAGTAGAGAAGGGAGAGAAAAAGGATTAACGGAAGTGACTTTATTCAACAACAACCCAAAATAGCAGTATACGTGTGATCCTTGTACCCCTTTTAGCAGTCGTTTATTCTGTTTACTTCCCAACTGAAGTAGTTACAAGTTATTTTATAACAGTTCTTACAATCGCCACGTATCACAATTGATACAGGAAAATTATGGCTTTTGAAGGTACATATTCATGTCCGGATCTCCTCTGTCACAACCGCATCTATCATTCAAATGTACTCTAGAAAGTGCACTCAGGTTGTAGTTATATTATGTTTGATAGTGAAGATTTCAGGCATTGAGTAACTTGAAATACAAACTTACATGTCTGGCATTATTTAAAATATTTAAACTTTTAAGGAAAGCATTCCATCGGGAAGATACAAGAACGTTTGTAAGCAACTAAGTATACCTCCTTATTTGTGTGAAAGGAAAGAGGAAGCCCCAATGCACTCATCTGCCTTGTAAATTCCATATCTTCAGAGAACGCCGTCATAACAACATAAGAGAATAAAACTATTAAATACAGTTCCAAGCACAGTCAATTACATGAGCACTGGAAAACATAATGATAGATAAGGGCACCATATTTTTCCCGGAAAATAAAAAGGCTTGTTGGAAAGCGTTTTCTGGTGGTTAATAAAATGTTTTGGAAAATAATCGCCAGTTCAAGAAGATTGACTTTGGTTTGACGGAATCTTTCTTTCTTTCTTTTTCTTGTTTTTCTCCTGAAAACTGCTTCATCCATTCTTCTGTTATGAGATGCAAAAAACTTGCAGGAAAATTAGGACATGATTCAAAAACTCCGGTGACAAAACTGAGAAATTAGAAGTGCTAGAGAGAGGGAGAAACACTTGCCTTCAGTTGAAGGAACGAAGTGTAAGCCTTTACCGTCATCAGCTTCAGTCGGTCTCTAGGCAAAATAAGTGTTAAGAGAGCAAGTGAACGAGAAATCAGACAACACTTACCAAAAAGCATAAGAAATAGAAATATTCAGTTCGACAAACGGCTAGAAAACTAACAGAGCGCTCGGCTAATGATGAAACCTGCGCACCATCGTCCCTGCAATTAATGAGAAAGTTAAACCAAAGAAGCAAGAAAAGGATATAGATAGAGAAAAAAATCTAGCATATGAGTGAGAGACAAAGGAGCGGCACCATAGGTAGACTTGGGTGAGCTTGAAAAGCGAACCGAGAGCTTTGATGGAAGGGCTACAACATTCGGAATCGGCGGTGTCCATCCTGTAGTTCAGTGAGAGAAGAGTCGGGTCATTCGTCTTTCGCAAGGACTCGAGTCCCCGGTTTCTCGCCGAGCGGTCACTTCCCCTTTCTAGTTTCTATGCCGCTCGCTACATCCCGGTTACATTTTTTTAATTTCCAATTTTAATTCATAACAATTAAATCCCGTGTGTGGATTTAAGTCGCCAACTCCATGCAAAATACAGGTCGTTTAATTTAGCCTATTTTATTTTGGTCAAAAAATAGCCTATTTTCTCATCAAGAATATTAGCACTATTATTTTGTTTGCATTTGCATTATATAAACACAAATTGTTGGCAAGAAAAATAAATTAACATCAATCCGGTGAGTGCTAGTCAAAAACTCAATTAGTGACCGTGGGTAACTGAGTGTCCCTTTTAAATATCAGCACATCTTTACATGTTTGAAAAACTAAAATATACACTTAACAATATTTATAATTATATTCAATATAAATATAAAATATTATTAATCATCATTATAAACTTGTAATCAATTACAACCTCCTAGCTTTAATATAAAAACTAGTTTGGTTTTAATTTAATTATAAATATAAAACTTTAATTCACTCTGTCTTTCATATTTATCCTTTTTTTTAAAATACTTATTATAGTAATTGTACATGTTAAAGGTTTTATCAAATAGTAATTTTAACTAATACACATGATTAACAAAGGTATTCTATGAAGACAACATTTATTTATTATAAATAACTAGTTTAATTAATTTTTTTAATCTCTCCAAATTAATCAGCTAAGTCTTATATTAAGAACCAGAGATAGTATATTATTTAGTCCTTAATATAAGAATTAATTTAGTTTTTAATTTGGTCATAAATATAAAATTTCAATACATTTTTTCTGTCATATTTATCTATTTTTCTCATGATAATTTTTATAATATTATACATCTTAAAGATTTTATTTTTTTTTACCAGCATGTTAAAGATTTTATTACATATACACATAATTGATATAAATATTTTTAAAAATAATATTCATTTATTATAAATAATTAGCGGACACCGTGTAATGGGCTAACGTTTATAAGGACAAAACCATATACTGGACTAACGATCTGGTAAATCCACCTGGTACTTTACTACCTCGATTTCCTTGCCGGACAAATTTTCTTTTGTTATTGTTCATTTAAAACACTTCTGTAAATACGGAGAGCGGGGGAGTGTAGGCTCCTCGAACTCCATTGCAGCTGCGGACAGAAATGGAAGACGGTGAGATAGAGGAGGCGCCGGTGCCGGTGGAAGGAGAAGACCAACGTGATGGACATTCGGCGGAAGAATGCAAGTTGGAGGAATCTCCATACGAAATGCTGCAGAATAGCAAAGCTTCGGTAGAAAAGATCGTTGGTGAGATGCTCTCGCTTAAAAGAGAGGGTAAACCTAAGTCGCAGCTCCGAGAGCTCGTTACTCAGATGTTCCTCAACTTTGTCACTCTTCGCCAGGTCCTTATACTCTTAGTATTCTTACCCCGCTCCCTTTTACTGCTCTAGGGTTTATAACTAGCCTCGCGGCTAAGTTTTGTGTGTTAATTCAAAATGAACAATAGATCGATCTGACGGCCAGCGAGGTCTGAGGTCAAGCACACGACGGGTTCTTGGCAAGTGTAAAGTATATAAATTGTCACTTCTAAAATAAAATGAAAAGGCATGAAAGCCGCCTACTAAGGTGATGAATAATACTGATTTCAAATTTGGGAGGAGACGAAACATTTCACTGTTAGTTTAATAGAGACATCAATTTCACATGCGTGATCCGGCAATGAGGATTTCACTATTGAGTGGGCAATAGGTTGTCATGAGGGCTTTTAGGCATGCTTGGTATGAGAGGTGGAAGTTGTAACGAAATAACAGGAAGGGCGTTGAAATGGGGATAGATAGAAAGGCTTTGATGTTCACTCCTTGGTGCTTTTTAGAGAAATTGGAAAATGAAAAATTTGCAAACTACTTTGGCCCGGGCAAAAAAAGGAAACTCTTTGCACTGCATCTTCAACCCATTTTAATTACTTAGTTTGAGATTAAAATATTTCTTAAGATTAAAATGAATGTGGATGGCGAGCTCTTTGCTTCTATGCCATTATTTTTCCCCTCCAATCAACCAGCCATTCACAATTTAAATACAGAATCATTCAGGCCCAATAGGCAAACCTTTATAGTCATAGTTTACTCATCCAATGGTTTCTGAAGGCCACTGACCATCCATTTATATGTCTGTTCAAGGTTCATGTGCCAAGAATCTATTCCTTAAGATTTGCACCTTTTTGCATTAAACTATAGGCATTAATATGTTTTTTCAGGCAAACCGCTCCATCTTGATAGAGGAAGACCGTGTTAAAATGGAGACAGAACGCGCAAAGGCACCTGTAGACTTTACATCCTTGCAGCTTCACAACCTGATGTACGAGAAAAGTCACTATCTTAAGGCGATAAAGGCTTGCAAGGACTTCAAAACAAAATACCCTGACATAGAACTTGTACCTGAAGAAGAATTTTTTCGTGATGCACCTGAAGATATAAAGGAATCCTTATTGTCTAATGATAGTGGCCACAACTTGATGCTCAAGAGGCTAAATTTTGAGCTATTCCAGGTGATATTTTGTCATCCTATTTCAATCAGCTACTTGTCACTGTGGGCCTGTGACAAATAGCTATAAGGTGGACGTGAAGGAATGAGAAAAAATTCAAGAAAAAGCAAGAGGCATGCTAATGTGTGAATTATAGTTTTTGTGAAGATAACCATTAAATTTCATGTTTTAAAGTGATGTCATTGGTCCCACTTGTGGCATCTTTGGCGCATGTTTTCATTTATTGACGTGTCTCAACTGAGACGCTGTTAAAGCATTGAAAAATACATGCTTAGTAAAGAAAATTGTGTTGTAAAAATTCTCAATGATTTATTCCTGGAGGAGGTACACAGTCTTTGACATTGAGTTAAGGAGCGGAAGGTTGAAACTTCAATAATTTCCGGAATTCCTGGACTCACCTCTGGCAGCAATGAATATAACGGAACCAGTTATGTGTTAGATGACTGCTGGTTCCAAATTATATTGTTGTGCCTCTTGCAAATCTTCCATATTAACAAATAGAAGGATTATTAAAGAAGAATAAAATGCCCTATATGTTTAGCATCTGTAGTTCTTTTTTTTTAAAAAAAAGAAGAAAAGAAAAAAAGTCGTTTACTTTTGATCTGTTATGGATTGAAGTTATTTGACAGTTGAGTACGACCATGACATATGAGTTAAGTCTTTAATATGATTCTAGCTGTACCATGTTGATTGAAAAATATTAGCTTCAATGTTTGGTCGTTTTTACTCTTGTTACTGATCTGCCTTTATGTTTCTCTTTTATCAATAATTAATATGTTATAAAAATTTAATTATGAATTTGTATCAGCGCAAAGAGCTTTGCAAGCTTCATGAGAAACTGGAACTGCAAAAAAGGAGTCTTTCTGAGACAATTGCAAATCGAAAGAAGTTCCTCTCAAGTCTCCCTTCACATCTCAAGTCTCTTAAGAAAACGTCCTTGCCAGTACAAAATCAATTGGGAGTTTTGCATTCTAAGAAACAAAAGCAGCATCATTCAGCAGAGTTGCTTCCACCTCCTCTTTATGTGATATACTCACAGCTATTGGCTCAAAAGGAGGCATTTGGAGAATCCATTGATCTGGAGACCATAGGAAGCCTCAAAGATGCTCAAGCTTTTGCCCGCCATCAAGCTCAAAAGACACTGGTAATAGAGTTGACATGTCAATTCTAGCAATTATTCAAATTTAATCAGATACATGCAGCTGGCAGTGTGTCTACTTAATTATGAAGTTAATCTGTCGGTAAATTTTTTATGGTTCAACTTCAAACTAGACCATTGCTCCAACAGTCAGACCAGCATTGAACTTTTTATTTTTTTTTTTTTTTTTTTGGGCGGGGGGTGTTATCAGCAGCATCAGGTTTCAATGTTAGCAACGGGAAGGGATTAGAGGAGAGGCAGTTTTATTAACATTATCTTGTTTTCAAGTACTGCCATTTCAGTACTAATCTTTGTTTCATCTTTTATTGGCTCAACAGTAGTAAGCATCTTCAATGCCTTCCGTCTTTCTTAATTGTGCATCCCACATAGCTTTGGGATTGTTAAAATGTCGTATTTTAATTGTGGTCCTGGTAGAAACTCGATAGAGAGAAAAAAAATAGAATGAGGCGTAGAGAGAGAACGGAGAAAGTGGGCGAGTGGGTCTTTCACAATCTGAATCTAACGGTAGAAGTAGGAGAATCTCCAAAGTTTTTCTGAGTATCACCTCATTCATGTCCTTGGCAGAATACATAATATGATATTTATATTTATAGTCTGACACAACAACTGAAAATAACTACCGTGCCCCCTGCATACATGAAACTGGCAATAACATAGTAACCGACACAAGACACTTGTAATGGTTAACGCAAGACACATAACATGGGCCACGTGTAGACATAAAACTTAAAACACAAATATTATAATATCTAATCCTAGATTGAGTCTCCATCTGAAGTGGGGCTGCCACACTTCTTCCTAGAATAAAACTAATTAAGGACATTGGTTCCTATTGGGTTCCTTGTTCAAATTTGACATTAATGTTGTCTTCTACCCAAAACAGAAAATCCAGGAGTTTTATGACATGGTTTTATTTACTTAGGCATTCCCCCCACTGTGGAAAGTTCCAAAATAGATGATGATGCACTTGATGAGGAAGAAGATGGGCAGAGGCGAAGAAAACGGCCAAGGAGGGTTCAAGGCAAGGAAAGCCTTGATCAGGCAGGAGTATTTCAAGTTCATCCACTTAAAGTCATCCTCCATGTGTATGATGATGAGAATCCTGATCCCAAGTCAGCAAAACTCTTTACTCTAAGATTTGAGTACTTGGTGAAGTTGAATGTGATTTGTGTTGGAATTGAAGCACCTAATGATGATCCTGAGAATGATATCTTATGCAATTTGTTCCCTGATGACACAGGTTTTGAACTTCCTCATACGGTATGGATATCTACTTTGCATGTCATTGGCTTATTCTTCATTCTACCTGACTTGAACTGCTAATTTATGTCATTACATTCTTTTTGAATGTAATTCAGTCAGCCAAGCTATCTGTTGGGGATTCTCTAATGTTCAATGGTTATAGAACTTCACGACCTTATAAATGGGCGCAGCACCTGGCAGGTATTGATTTCTTGCCAGAGGTGTCTCCTCTGCTGCTATCTGGCTGTAAAGCATTAGGCAACAGAACAAAGAATGAAGATGTCACATCTGGGCTTTCTCTTTATCGCCATCAGAACCGGGTACAGACAGTTCTAGAGAGGATTCGTTCCCGTAGAAAAGCTCAGTTGGCTCTTCTGTGAGTTGCAGTTCTGTGTTTTAAAAGTTTTATAATATGAAGGACCCTCAGATATTCAACGGAGATAAAATAAAATACTATAATGTTGTCAATTTAATCTTCTGCTATAGTGACAAATGGTCATATCCCCCCCCCCCCAATGCATTCTGCTCATTTAAGATTGTTTTCAAATTCAACATATCATTCTAATTTGGGGGACCTCCCAGTTTGTGCGTTTGTTGTGTTTGAGCATACTATAGTTAAAATTTGTTTACCGTTGCTGGCTTACAGGGAGCAGCTTGAATCTCTTGGGAAACTTGAGTGGCCTCTTCTATCCTGCAAAAGCGTTCCATGGGCTATGCACACTCCTGCATGCAATTTGGATGTTTGGTCACCTCTAAGGTCCATATCAAACGAATCTTCATCTCTGGTGGTTGCAGATAAGCAGGAGCACAGTCAGGAACCAATGGATGTTGATGCAAGTGAGAAATCTGGTGCCACAAAGGAGGAACCCGAGGGTACAAGGGAAGATGGGGAACTTCCATCTTTGCTGCCTAGCATTTCTGTTGTAGGTGATGTCAAGCCACCCTATTCAAAGGGGTCTAGTCTCGACCATTCCAAGCAACTGAGTTTAATTTCAAAAAGCATCACTCCCCAGCACAAGGTTAAATCACGAAGTTTCAAGAACTTTGATGACAACTCTGAACTTTTGCTAGATGCTGACAGTGATCTTGATGAGCCAGCGCAAATTGAACCAGAACCTGAGGATATGGCATATGATCATTGTTTCAGAAAGTCTGAGATTTCATGGACGGATTACGGGGTCAAGGAATTTTGCCTTGTTCTTGGTGGAAAAATCGGGGTGGATAAGAGGAGTGTGAATCTAGAAGCAAAGGTATGTGAACCCTTTTTCTCTCTGAATTGTCAGTTGTTTGTTTACTCACACGTTCACCCAGGTTTTGATTCTGATTCTTCCTACAGATCAAGATCAGTATGGAGTATCCTCTTAGGCCTCCTCTTTTTGCATTGACTCTTAGCCTTGGATCTTCTGGGAAAAGACATCAGGATAAGGATGGCTTGGACTGGTACAATGAACTTCGTGCTATGGAAGCTGAGGTGAGTAACTGATGTTCTTCATGAGAGGTATCATTGCAATAGAATCACCAGACATATTAGGTATATGAATCTTTGAGGACGGGATTCATTGTATGGTAATGTGATATGGTGTTTTAGCTCATAATTACCGCGATGGGTGAGCCAGATCTTTGATGCCCCGCGCTCATCCTATCTAAGAAAACAGGAAACGAGAAGAAAACCATCTGCCGTGATAAACCTGCAGATTATTGTCGGCTTTCTTACTGTCTTTCATCTCTCCTTGTAGCGATATTCATGTTTCCCTTGTCTCACTTGTAGGTTAATCTTCACATGCTAAGGGTGCTACCTGCAGAGCAACGAAATTATGTATTGGCTCATCAAGTGCGCTGTCTTGCTATGCTGTTCGACTATCATTTAGAGGAAGCTTCCCCACCATCTGGAGGGAAAAGTTGTACCTCTGTAGTTGACATTGGTCTATGCAAGCCAGTAAATGGTAGGTTCCTGAATAGATCTTTTAGAGGAAGGGACCGAAGGAAGATTGTCTCCTGGAAAAACTTTGAATTAACCCCCAACTAATTCCAATAGTCGAGGTCTGGAGGCGGTAGTCCTGAAGAGGATGTACGTTTTGGTCCCGTTTGATAAGAAGTATTAAAAATGAGGAATTGGAATTGGGATTGCAATTAAAAAAAATTATTAAAATAGTATTTAGTAGGAGTAATTGTTTATTATATGGGATTAGACAAACCCATAAAGTTAAAATTGAGGAATACCACTTTCTCCTGTAATATTTTCTAATCTCACATACATGGGTTTAACCAATCCTATATAACAAGCAATTTTTTATATTAAATACTCTTAATAAATTTTTTCAATTACAATCCCAATCATAATCTCTTATTTTTAATGCTTCGTACCAAATGTAGTCTTTGTGTTTATAGATGTGGCCTTGGGATATCAATTTGCTTACCGCACAAGAAAACAGCTGTGGCTGTGGTAGCGCTTAGATGGTTCAACTGGACCAGCAAATAGGCAATGTTTAACAAGTGGGTTAGTGCGGCAACATATTTTGGTTTCTAAGAGGAGCCAACTTTGTGGAATTTTTCTCAAGATCTTGTTTTGCGGATGCTTTGGAGACTACGATGCAGGATTTTCTTTAATACTACTCATTTTAGGTGTTCAAATTTTATGCTAGGTTCTTTGTACAGAGTAGTTGATTGTAACATTATTTTGCAGAATCCGACTAAGTAATAATGAGATGTTTCTCTATCATCTGAAACTTGAAGTCATCTCATTGTCATGTCTGTATTGGGTGTGCGTTTTACGGAGGTAATATGTTTGAAATTTGAGTCATATCAACGTTGCTTGGAAACCCTTTTGACACTTCCATTACAATTTTTTGGCCATTAATAGTACCGATTAATTGAGGAATTCAACTAAAATGCACAAGGCTCAGAATATTTCAGACCTTGCGTACTACATACGTTTCAGCAAGTCAGTCGGTAATCTCATTCACTAAGAGAATTCAAATTCATTACTTCAGAGAATTCATACTCATTTACTATGTCGGAAATTGCATTGATTTCATTTTTACAATACCCACCACAAGCCCACCTACCAGCGTGACATTAGGCGGTGAATTATGAGTGCACCGTGTAACCTTTTAGGGCGTCTTCAACGCATACGACAGGATAACACATTTCTGGCTGAAACAAGTGGTTTCCGCTTTCATGCAACTAGAAAAATGACCGCCAGATAACACGTTACTTTAGGCCACTCTGAACCACCAATTGTGCCACAACGGGTTAAATCTAAGACCAAAAACTTTAATGTGCCCAACAAATACGTCCAGCGAGGAGCAGACTGCGCAAGATAGTAACAAATGGGCAACGGTGGCACGAAGTCGGACGTGTGCTAAAACATATTCACACGATATATTCTCACCCTTGCCTAACCACTATGGTGTTCCAAAAAGGAACCAGATATCAAACTTTGTGCTAATCTAGAAACTACCTATGAATCTACAACAAATATGGTTTTATATGTATGTACATTAATCTAAGATACATGGCTTTCAACAGTGGAGTCAACGTCCGATTTTCACTCTACCATGGTCCAGTTTGTGTTGTTGTCTTAAGCACCTTTTCTTAGCCCCTTGCTGCAAATTCGTCATCTCCTTTACCTGAGATGTTACCAAAAGCCACAAAATTCAGGACAAAGGCATTATCAATCCTCACCGCATTATGAAATGCACTTCTACACACATGGTAGAGAATAAACAAAGAGAAAAATGCTTTTGCCAGTCTCGGAATATTACAGTATGATAGGCAACATATGGCAAATATTACAAATTTGAAGCAGCAAGCGCTTCCAAGAAAGCCATCTCTACGCCATCACAATTTATCACGGGGAAAAGAAAACAGATGCCATATAATGCTTATCGGTTCGTATTTCAAGAAGATTTCCTTATTGATACATTTTTTTTACTGAAGCAGCTAATTCGGAACATTCTTTCTGCTTCACATGATATAGAGCGATCCTCAGATAATTATGAACTACATACATGCTAAAGCACGTTAGTTCTTAGTCACTCAGTGCATACATCAAACTGGAAGAATTCCAAATTGGAGACCAAACATGCAACAAGATGAACGGTAGAGATGACTTTTATAGCGGGCGACAATTAAGCAACAGGAAATCTAGAACTTAAATTCGGGCAACGCGATAATAAGCATATTTCCTTCTAGCTTTTACGTTTTCCTAAAAAGATCATCCGGTCAATTCACCAGTTATCAAGGAAATAAAACAAGTGGAAAAGAAATGTAACCAAAACATCGAAAGTCACCCAAATTGTATGGAAATTGTATTACAAATGAATCTCAGATCTTTATGCTAATATTAGAAAGTATAATTACGAAACTAAGCCATAGTAAGGGTAGCATATTAGTCGGCCACCGTTATGAACCAAACCAGCTTCCTGAATTCATCCTATGTTGAGAATGGCAAGCGTAACAACTTAAGGATACACATAAAAATCACTGAATGCGTACATTCTATAAAAATACACCAATTATCCAATTTTCTGTAGAAAAGACATCATCATAAGTTGCAATGTTTTCTACCCAAGCTCTTTATCAAAACTCCTATCCATTGATGAAGTCATTTATTTAGTAAAATTGCTCTAAGGAAC